GAGGTTAGTCAGGAGCTGACACATGGGTGTGGGCAAGACCAAACGAGAAGCGAAGCACGCAGCAGGTAAACTAAACAAACACGTAGCATGAGTTTCGTGTTGCAAGGCTGAGGCGTGCGACTGGCAACGCTGTGACATGGACGGGCTCGCTCACCCCCAAACAATTTACCAGCGTTGGTCGAACACCTTCAGCTGTTCACGAAGAGGCACAATGCAGTTGTGCTCGACAATAGTCATCGGAGTGGGGAGAGGCATGGCGACGTTCGGATAAGGAAAGGCGATTGTGCGTAGCCAGAAGTCGGAGTAGAGATTGGGTGGTGCAATAATCGTCCTGAAATCGAAGGTCCCACGACGGTGTACGGCGTGACATGGCATCGATGTGGGTACGTAAGGTAGTACAAAAAGGGTGACAAGTGGTGACGGGGATAGCAATCGAAGGAACTACACGTTGAACACGAATGAAGAAGACCAGAGAGGAAGTAGTCAACATCCTCACACACGGACATCCATTCCCAACCACCTCTTTGCACACCTATGTCGACAGACGTCTTACGGAAGAGAGACGCTTTCACGGTGCGACGAGTGGTACCTTGAGAGCCATATGGTGTGACAGCATGTCAGACGACCGGTGGAGGCAGTCGGTGATGCCCTCACGGACCCCTCATTCATTGTCACCTTCGCCCATCGTCACTGATGTGGAACTGGTGCTGGTCAACTGTGCCAACATCGTCTGACATCACATCACCACCTGCACTCACTCCCTACACCTACCTGTAGAAGGGGTGTGCGCGTTAGGGATCACTTGTCTCTTGCACCTCCTTTGACAGATTATGCAACACTGTCCACAACTCTAGCATGCGAATTGCCGATGATCAAAACGTACAGTTGTGCAACCCAACTCCTCCCACTACCGACGCGACAAACGCGACAGCGTGGATGATGGAGCAGTGGACATGTGGAGTAGACTAGTCACCGATTACGCCTGTTGATCACGGGTGAGGAAGAGAGAGCGAATTGGTTGAAGAGGTTCAATCATGGAAGTGATTGGCATCATTCCCACTTATCTGCCAACCTGTTTTGCATCTCCGAATGAGGAGGCGGGAGGACAAGTTGGCTGTAGGGGGTGGGAGGGAAGTCAAATGTAATCCGCACTGATGGCAGTTACTGTTCTGTCCCTCCTCGACGTGGTACGCATCCTCTCTACTCCACAGCACCAAAGATATGGCAAAACAATCAGCCTGACGTGTTAGTCACACTCACAGGTGACAGCTACACTGTCTTCCTCTACCAGAGTCAAGGTGTGCTTTGAGTCCTGTCTCAATGTCGCAAAGCTAAACCTCCTACTGCACCTCGAAGAGTAACAAATGGCTTCAACTAACGTGAACCAGTGCAACACTCGTGCTTGTGTGCAAATGGCGCGTGTTCGAGCAGGCTGGGGCATTGGAGAAACTGATGTGATTGCGTTGCACAACTCCGCACTTGTTACGCTACACTGTGGAGTGGACAGAGAGAGAGAGCAGTTGTGCAGCAGCCGTGGACACTGCATTTGCACAGCTCACCAACGATGGAATGGAAAGGCATCTTATCCCACACACACACACAAACAGTCCTACTGACAGCATTACTTTGCTGACCTGTAAGTTACTTTGCACCACTCTGCTCGTCATTTGGTGTTGCGAAGCGAGAATTCACCCGAACGAAGCTCGCCACTTCACATGGCATTGAGGTGAACCCTTGCAAATGTGTGCTGCGATTGTGCGTGTGTCACCACTGTAGAGACGAGTGTCAATGGAGTGGAAGTGGTGCATCGCAAGGGAAGAAGGTGTGATGCCAGCATCGCCAGCATTTGCTCTCTCGTCTCATGGGCAAGGAGAAGTGAGCCATCACACCCTCCACTTTCATTTCTTCGTCTAC